CCGCTCTGGTTTCTTTGTCCCTTGAGAACATGCTGGTTAGGATCCAACAAAGTTGATTATATCCTATTGGCAAAACCTCAGTTTTTAGTGTCTCTTGTAAATAACCTAAAATATCTTTTTCAGACTCTAAGTATATTTTAAACGTATATTGAAGCGTCCATTTTCTTCAGGTTATCTTCAAGAACTAATCCATGTCTTTATAGTTACATATTTTTTAATTTCAGAATTGATGTTTATCAGTTGACCCTATTCCTTATATATACTTTTCCTGAAATGTTTCATGAACTGCCAAACACTATAAATTTTAAGTGGTTTTAAATAATATTTCTATTTCACTCAAGAAACTGATAAAATTAAAACGATCCCATAAGGAGGAATACAAAGCTCTTAAGGTGAAACATGTGCAGCACAGAATGGCTTGTCAGTGACTCTTCGCCGTTCTTTGGGGCACCTCATGGCACTTCTCAGGGTACAGTCTTCTGGGCGAGGTGACAGGAGGTTTTTAGGCCAGTGCTAAGCACACAGCAGACAGTTTTGGTTCATCCTTGCAGGTTTTTTACATAGATGCGTGTGCACGTGTGCTTATTTTTGGTGGATTCTGAAGCTCTCTTCTTTGCTTGCACGGGCGGGAAAGGGAAAGAACAAATACAGCTGCTCTTTCCTTTCCATGGTCCCTGGCGCAAGCCATGGACTCCGTGCTCATCAGGCCACCTTTCCCTTCTCCCGCTTATCCAGAATGCCCGTCTCCTTTCATGTTTGGTCCATTCAGGCTGCTCAGCCGTCCTCGCAAAGCCTTCCCTGACCCAGCCGCGTTCCTGTCAGTGCTTTGCTTTCCATTTCCTCCTAAGTCCTGAGTGCTTTCCCTTCGTTGCCTTGCCTCCCCCTTATCTGCGGTGCGTGCCCGCCCCCGCCCCGTGATGAGAAGCTGCTTGAAGACATGTCGATGTTTTCTCCTTGCCTGTACCCTCCCTTCTGCAAGTGTTCTACACATAATAGATGATGAAAAGTTTATTTCCAAATTGCAAAGGTAGTTCTTCGCTGGTGTGTGATTTGAGATGGTTGCTGCTGTTGTGCGGACGCCAAGTCCTAGCCAGATAATTCAGGGCCTGTTCAGCCCTCCAGGAACTTCTAGTTCACTATTCTGGGGAAAAAAATAAAACTTTTGTGTATATATATATATACATATATATATATATACACACAATTTTTGGGGGGGTGGGTCACCTTTATAATAAACATTAGGGATGGAATCCTTTTTTTTAAAAAATTATTTTTCAATTACGGTTCTGTTCAGTATTACTTTGTATTAGTTTCAGATGCACAGCATAGTGATTAGACAGCCATATCATTTACAGAGTGCTCCCCCCCAGTATTTCCAGTACACACCTGGCACCATCCAGTCACTATAACATTCTTGACTATATTCTCAGTGCTGTACTTACATCCCCATGACTATTCTGTGACTACCGATTTGTACTTCTTAATCCCTTTACCTTTTTCACCCATTCCCCCTACCCCCTTCCCTGGTAGCCATGAGTGTGTTCTGTCTCCATGAGTCTATTTCTATTTTATCTTGTTCTTTAGATTCCACATGTAAGTGTGATCATACGGCATTTGTCTCTCGGACTTGTTCGCTTAGTGTAATACCCGCTAGGTCGTTGCGTGCTGTTGCAGATGGTCAGGCTTCCTTGTTTTGTATGGCTGAGTAATACTCCATTGTACGTACACGTGCACCAGTTTTTTAATCTGTCCATCTACTGATGGGCGTTTGGGCTGCTTCTGTTGTCTTGGCTGTTGTAGATAAAGCTGCAGTGAACATAGGGGTGCACATGTTCTTTCAAATTAGTGTTTTGGGTTTCTCCTGATACACTCTCAGAAGTGGAATTCCTGGGTCATACACGGTTGTATTTTTAACTTTTTGAAGACCGTCCATACTGTTTTCTGTTGTGGCCGCACCAGTCTGCATTCCCACCCACAGTGCATGAGGGTTCCCTTTTCTCCACACCCTCGCCAACACTTGTTTGTGGATTTATTGATGGTGGACATTCTGACAGGTGTGAGGTGATACCTTGTTGTGGTTTTAATTTGCATTTTCCTGATGCAGAGATGTTGAGCATCTTTTCATATGTCTGTTGGCTGGCTGTATGTCCTCTTTGGAGAAGTGCCTATTTCAGGTCCTCTGCTCATTTTTAAATTGGATTGTTTGTTATTTAATGTTGAGTTGTACGAGTTCTTAAAATTTTGAATATTAACCCTTATTGGATGTGTCATTGGTGACACATTTCATTTTGCTGATTTCCTTTGCTGTGCAAAGCGTTTTTAGATTGATATAGTCTCATGTTTATTTTTTTTTCTTTTGTTTCCTTTGCGTGAGGAGGTACAGCAGGAAAAATACGGCTAACAGGAATGTCAGTTTACTGCCTATGTTTTCTTCCAGGTGTTTTATGGTTTGGGGTCTTATATTCTTCAATCCGTTTTGAGTTTATTCTTGTATATGGTGTAAAAATGTGATCTAGTTTAATTTTTTTGCACGTCTGTCCGTTTTCCCAACACCATTTATTGAATGGACTGACGTTACTCCATTGTGTGTTGCCTCCTTTGCCGTAGCTTAGTTGAACGTACACGTGGGTTTACTTGGGGGGTCTCAGGTGTTCCATCGATCTGTGTGTGTGTTTATGCCAGTACCAGGCTGTTTTGGTGACTGTGGCCTTGCAGTGTAGTTTGATAGCGGAGAGCGTGCTTCCTCTGACTTTGTTCTTTCTCAAGACTGCTGTTCGAGGTCTTTTGTGGTTCCATACACATTTTTGGAGTATTCTACTTTATGAAGTACGGTGTTGGTATTTTGATAGAAATTGCACTGAATCTGTGGCTTGCTTTGGGCAGTATGGGCATTTTAATGATGTTGATTCTTTCTAGCCGTGAGCACAGTCTGTGCTTCCATTTATTTGTCTTCATTTTTCTTCCTTAGTGTCCTCAATGTTCTAAGTGCAGGTCTCTTACCTCTTTGGTTAGATTTACTTCTAGGTATTTTTTTGACTCAGTTTTAACTGGAATTCTATTCTTAGTATTTTCTTATCATTCCTTATTGGCATATAAAAATGCAACCGATTTCTGAATGCTTATTTTGTACCCTGCTGCTTTACTTTGTGGAATCTTTAGGGTTCTCTGTGTACACTATCCCGTCCCCTGCAAATGATGCATTTCACTTCTTCCTTCCCAGTTTGGATGCCTTTCATTTCTTCGTGCCTGACTGCAGTGCCCAGGACTCCAGGGCTGTGTTGAACAAGAGGGTGAGACTGGAGAGGCCCGTCTTGCTCCTGAGTTTTAGTTCTTCCCGGCTGAGCACGACAGCAGCTGTGGGTGTGGCATACGGCCTTCATCGTGTTGGGGTGTGTTCCCTCCTTGGGCACAGCATTCTTACCCAGCACGTTTATTCTTTTACCCCATGTTTGTAAGTTAACAGCTATGTGCTGTAGGAGAATAGACAGATACTAGGGACTACTGAAGATAGAAAAGTGATACAGTGTTCATGGTACAGAGTGTCTGTTACCAAAACACATTATACAAACGTTAAACTTAGTTTTTTATGTTTTTATTATAAAGTTGATGATTTATTAAAAATATGGAACTCTATATAGAGTGAACTATGCTGTATTTTTTATGGGCAGTTAACAGCATGTCTTGGATTTAGTAATTAAGTTAAAAAATATTTTTAAAATATATTAATGTTGTTTTCTATTTTTCCGTTTTGTGATTTACTTAGAAATTAAAATAGCATAGTAGCCTTTGTTTTACAAGTGGCATTTTGTGGTATTCTTGTTACTTGACTTTAAAAATTTGTGGCACTATCTTACCTGAACTGTATGTAAGCTGGTGAATAGGAACTGATTCCACTAGGATACTGCCAGTTGCAACTTACAAAAGGCCGTGTGCATTGAGCTTCAGTAGTGTAGGGTGTTGGCTGCCTTCCATGTACCCGAGAAGCCCCGGGAGAGGTGTGGGGCTTTGTCATGTCTTCATAGCTCTCCTTTCCCTGCCCCTGTGCTTCCTTCCAAATCGAAATAGGTTGAGAATAAAACGCTTCCTCGGTCATATTTAGAGAAACACGTAAGCTTCCTTCACCACTGTGTAGCAGCTTCCTACCTGGGTCCTGATGGCAGTTCGTGGACCCATTTGTGTGGGGCGGGAGAGCGCTGTTTACTTATGGGCTTGGATCTGAGTCAAATGCCTGTCACCACGCCAGTCTGGGGCAAGGGTAATTGATGTGGAGTCGGCCCCACCCAAGTCACGTGGCCGCCGCACAGGGGCAGGACTCCAGTGAGTGCAGTGCCCAGGAAAACAGGGCCGAGCTCTCAGTTGCTTTCTGTCCCAAGTGCTGCCCAGAGTACTGTGTGCAGAACACACACCACAGCGCACCTACTTCCTTATTTCCTCAGACGCATTTCTGGTGGGGAACGTGAGAAAGCAGAAATGAGAGGATTCAAGTCACATGACCCAAAGATGAAGACATAGTGACGGGAAGACCCGAGGCAGAGAGGGAGCTGTAAGGGAGGTGCACTCGGGGGAGGGGCAGCAGCAGAGCCAGGGCCAAGTCTGCGCAGCGAGGGAGCTGCCCCGCCGCCCGCCGCGCCCTGCCCGCATCTGGAAGGCGGCCTTTGCTGTCACAGGAGAGTGACCAGGCAGGTCTCCAGAGCCTTCTCTTCATTCCCCTGTCCCTTTGGTCTCCAGTGGAGATACCCCGTCAGAAATGTATCCTGTATTTTTGATAGTGTCTCAGCAGGTCCAAGCAGTAGGCTGAAAACAAGTGGCATGAATCATAAGCTTTATATATATTTCAGACTTCGGGTAACTTTCTTTGCTTATTTTTAAAATATTCAAAGGTTGATGGTTAGTTACTTATAAAACGCATTTGAAGTCAGAACTGGGGAAACTTGCTTCATATCCATACCCAGATTTGTTAATGACTTTTTTGTTAATGAGTGATAATTTCTTTTTTCCAGGGAATGGATTCGTAAACTCAAGAGCTTCTCCAAATTTGATTGGAACTACTGGTGCAAATAGTTTAGGCAAAGTCATGCCTACAAAGTCTCCCCCTCCTCCAGGTGGCGGCAATCTTGGCATGAACAGTCGAAAACCAGACCTTCGAGTTGTCATCCCCCCTTCAAGCAAGGGCATGATGCCCCCACTGGTACGTCACACCCATCTCCAGTTCCTCCTTTCAGACGCGTCTGTTACACATACTCAGTGTTTTCCTTCCCAGTGTTCCGTACTTCCGTAGGATCTAGACTGTTTCCTAATAATATTTCTATGTGAAATTAACCTTTGAAGAAACAAGTCTATTTTTAAATACACAGAAATCAGATTGTGGTGAAATAGGAAATAAATCTGCTTAATGGTTAAAATTAAAGCTCAATATAGAGGGATTAATTTTGTGCCTAATTTTACCAGGCTGGACTCCTTACTTAGAGATCTCATCCCCAAACTGATAAATTAAACCTGGTTTAGGTACCATTTTCCCTGTCCTGTGTATACTTGCAGTCATCCCTTGGACGTGCTTTTCTGTGGGGAAGCACTGTGTTACCTGTTGGAAGGTGCTGCGTACTACAGAGAACTGTTGCAGAACAGGGAAGGGTACAGAAAACTTGAGTTATTTTCCAATTAAGTTCTCCACGTCCTCCTCCTCAGGTGGCCGCCTCGTTTCAGTCTGTAAGGAGTAAGTGTCCCTAGCCCAGCCCCTACAATGTCTGTATAGCTCCAGCCTCCTTGACTTTTGAATCCTGTGTTTTTAAGAGAGAGAGTATGTTTATCCCCCTCGTCTCTTGTAGGAAAAAAATTAGAACACGCAAGTTTAAAACCATTCTTAGTTTGCAGCTGTTTGACTACTGACACGCGATGCGATGTGCCAGGTGCTCCTGCCGTGTAGCTGCTAAACTCGCCGCTTGAGGTTTTGTAAGTGAGAGAGATGCTATCGGGCTCTAGATAATAATTCCACATTTGGATAATTAATGCTTCATAGATTCCCAGACATCTTTATGTGCATTATCTCATTTACCCAAAAACTGATCTTGGCTGGGTAGAGATGAGGAAACTGAGGGAGCGGTTAGTACTTCTCCAAGGTAGCACAAGAGCGCCAGGACCAAAACTCATAAAACAAAGGACTTTTTTATTCAGGGGTACAGCGAGGTGGACAAATGAAAGTTCACAGTTCTCCTTGAACACACCGTAGTGCGGAAATGTCAGGGCAGCTGACTGGCCCAGACTCCCTGGGGAGGCAGGTGCCGTGGGGAGAGGACACCTGAGCACTGGCTTTTCTGGATCAGGAAGGCGCAGGTAGTGAGAGTTAAAGTAGGGGGACTGGGGAACTGTTGGAGGCCAAGTGCGCACTGGACAGACTGTGTATAAGCCCTGGGGCCACCACACACGGGGAGTCTGAGTTCTCACGTAGGCTCCTTCTCCATGAACCTCACGGTGCTCACAGAAAAGGGGGTGTCCCGAAACTGTGTCCGCTGAGGTGCGCACCGGGCGAAGGGGGGGGCGGCCAGGGCAGGAAGTTTTGCCTGGATCCTCCTCCAGTTCTCCTGTGGAACAGAAATCTTAATCTGTGATGAGATGAACGGCAAAACTGTTACCCTTAGGACCTGGTGAGATGCCCTTATACCTGGAGAAACGGAAAAGGGGAACTATCTCATTCCACGTTTATGAGGATTATTAGTAAACGGCGAAGTTTGAGGACTGACTACATTTAGGCATTTAGCAACTTGTCAAGATTATCTGATTTTTTTAAATCATGAAGCATCTCCATGGACTCCTCAAAACTGACCATATAAGCTATTTCCACCTTTGTCCCTGTAGGTTCCAGGGGACCCCCCCAGTATTTTGATGTGTATCTTAGTCGGAGGTGTGTGAATATTCCGTAACGTGAGAGTTGAAGAGCATTAGCGTGTGCGCAGTGCAGCCAGCAGAGAAGTAGATCGAGTTGGGGGGAGGCGTGTTTAGATCCTGGCCCTAGAGAATTTAAAAGAACCTTTCTAGTCTTTTGAAATCCACAAGTACAGAGACGATAACTTAGATTTGTATTTGTTGCACATGTAACGATCTCTTTAGAGTTTCCAGCAACTGCTACTGTCCACATAACGTTTTCCTAAAGAAATATTTATTCCCGAGCACCGGCAGTCTTAGTAACTCTCTTATCCCTCTTCTGTGCTGAGTGCAGTCGGAGGAAGAGGAGTTGGAGTTGGTGAGTGTGGGTTTCTGCTTGAAGGGAGTTGAAAAAGATGTGGAAAGTACTAATCCTCTTACATGTTTCTATCTAACCAATGTTCCCTTTGGTACACAGATTTTTCGTTGTTAAACACTGTCCAAACACTTTGAAGAACTAAACCAATCTGCTGGTGTCTAGTTTTTCTGTTTATAATTGTGTATCCTGATCCATTTTTTGTTGTTGGAGGGAACATTGGAATAAAGTGTTGAAAACAATAGCTGTCTGTGATCACAAGACACTTGTTAAAGATTTTAAAGGAAAGATGCAAAATACCTTATATAGTTCCCCAAATTATTAACATATTTTTAGAAAATGACTTCACCTTCATGGTTCCTCAGATTGTAACACATGGTCTTGTGTTGTTATTTCTCTTTCTTTCAAAATGATTACATCATTTTTGGTGAGGTCACCTTTCCCACAGAGTTGGAGTTACTTCATGCTGCATGAAACGCTCTGAACCACAAAGGGGTTCCCTGTTTAATAACAGGAATGTCTATAATTGAACATAACACAAACTTACTATTTTTTATCAGAAGATATTCTAGTCTCAAAAGTAGCTGTTAATACCTTTCTTTCCAAAACATGATTTCTGTTTGCTTTTCTAGAAAATAAGTTTGACTAAAAATAACTTTCAGTTGTTCTGTTTCTTCTTTGGGAACTAAAACCCAGGCCTCACAGAAGTGATCATGTGAATTCAAAGTCAGCTGCTAACTAGAGGACTTGAAGGGGAATAAAAATTTGAAAATGTTTAGTTTTTAGCATGGACGGGTTCAGGTTGCATGGAAGCATGGGGGATGCATCTGTTGGTTTTATTTACATATTATATGCATGCCGGTGTGTTTTGCACAATTTGTTTATTTAAAAATAAGATTGTGCTCTGTTCTTAAAATAAGAGCTCATTCTTTAACTTTGCGATAGCTCTCATGGTTTTGGATGTGATTTTGTATTGGTTAACTGAAACATACTAGTCAGCTGTCATGGTGGTACTGGATTATATCATGTGCAGATGTGGACTGTCTTTTGGAAAAATACTTAATGATACAATAATGATTACCAAATGGAAGTTTACAATTTGAGATAAAATAATTCATATTAGGTTAGACTTCACTATCCCTAAGTTATGAATGTTTCCTTGTGAATTATCTAGCAATGTCGCCCTCTCGTGGTTACTCTTGAAAAACTCATGCCAAACACTAGGTTACAATTTAGAAAGTGGTTCATATTGGTTAGAACTCCAGAATATAATCACGGATGGCTCCAAGCCAAAGTGAGGAAGGACAGGTGCCTGGAGCCTACACTAAAGACACTCCCGTGAGAGCCAGGCTGCAGAGGATCCTCTAGAAGCCCTGTAAGAAGTTACACAGAAATCTTGGGCCAGAGGGTTTGCTGGGACATTAAGGCCCTATTCCGTGTGTAGCACTTCAGTTTCCTCACTAGGTTCTCAGCGTAGGACTGCGAGGCAGGCAACACAAGACCACTACCTTCCCTCCTTGACAAACGGGGAGGTAAATGATTTTCCCATGCTTGCCGGGGGGTGGATCTGGGGCAAAAACCCGGGCAGTGGGACCACCTACTGAACGGTCTTTCTAACGTTTTCTAACTCAAGATTATGTGGAAAATACAAACTAAAAAGAAATGAACTGAGATCTGGATCCTTATCAAATGATCAATGTTCAGGTATCTAGATCTAGCCAAAGGCCTTCATCTGATTACCGGTTATCCTTTGAAAGCGGTGACAGGAAACCGAATCCCAGTCTGATTCTTGGTCATCTCAAGGGTACTAAATTACACTTTTACCGATACAACTTAGACCCCCAGATGTCGGTTAGCGGGCTGTAACTTCATTTGGAAACAACCCTAGGGCTGTATTTTGGCTTCTTGTGTACTAACCACGTGGTACGTGGAGTTTGCCTTAAGGGAGCCCTTTCCAAAACCAAGGATCTGAGGAACAGAGCAGCGTGGTGAGAAACTGCTCTCATACACCTACCCAGAGGACAGGGACTGACTTACACCGACTTGACTATTAATAGCCGACTTATTAATTCACTCCCAGTGTAGGTAGGAGCTGTGGGGATGGAGTCAGTCTGCCAGCATTTACTACCGCTCCATTCACAGCCCTGTGACACATCCTTTCTTCAGAAGCTCTCTACCAAGGCCTCTCCTTTCCGAAGAGTCGGGAGACTGAAGCGATACATGTCTGAATCTGCTGTTTAAAATGGGTCCCTTGGGGGGCGATGTTGGTAATGAGGGAGGCTACATGTGTTTGAGGGCAGGGGGTATAATGGGGAATCTCTGTACCTTCCCCTCAATTTTGCGGTGAACCTAAAACTGCTCTAAAACAGTCTTAATTTAAAAAAACAAAAACAAAACATACTCCCCTCCGCCCTCCCCCAGGATCACAGGGAAGGAAATCCAGGCACAAGCTGCACAGTAAGCCATGACTTACAAGTAGTGTCGATCTCTGTGCTCATGGACTTCCAGTTTCTCTACATACTAACAACCTTTGCTGTCCTCAGTACCTGCAAGTGTTTTGTTTTTATTTCGGGTGCCTGGCAGTATGTGTAGTGGCATCAGGTCCTCATTCATAATGCATGTTTCTGTGTTAAGGATGTGTCTCTGACATCAGTAAACTGTGTGAAAGAGACAAGGGAAAATGAATAATTAATGTAAAAATATGTCCCTTAAAATTGAATATTTAGTTATACCCATTTGTATTTATTTCTAAGGTTTTCACATCATGGCTTCAGGAAGTGACATTCACATCATAAAACTGAAAAATGTCACTTTTAAATTGAATGTTATTTTTAACATATGAAGTCTGAACATAAATTCTTGCAGGGTAACACTTTCTCCTTTTCTGTGCCCCACAGAATACCCAGAGGATAAGCAGTTCTCAAGCCACTCAGCCTCTAGCTACCCCCGTCGTGTCTGTGACAACCCCCAGCTTGCCTCCGCAGGGACTCGTGTACTCAGCGATGCCGACCGCCTACAACACTGGTAAGCCGGCTCTGCTGCCTTTTGTGGCTTCATGTCTTTGTTTTGTGACCGTGTGCTTCTGTGACTTTTTAAAAAGGAGCATATTTACTGGAATATATTATTGCCAGTATTTTAGGTTCACATTTGGATATCCTTAAAAATACACGCCAGCCTTGAAAACATTACAAACAATACATTGATCACAGAATGATTTCCCAACATGAACTTTTATTTACCCGACAGAAACAGGCAGCTGTTACAAAAGCCACCGCAAGCCTGGAGCAGGGAGGGTGCGACTGCCTGTTGCTCGGCCTTGTCTGTGCAGGTTCTCGTTACACAGTATCCCCTCTCCCAGGCTTTGAAATCATGTTTTTCTCCTCACGCTGTGCTAACCTGCTCTGGGGAAGACTGTCCGGTCCTTCGCTGTGCTGGGCGCGCCCGTTTTCTCCATGGAACTGCCTCTTTGGGCCTGAGGGACAAAACCAGGGCCTTTCTTGTTTCTCCTCAGAGCCAGCCAGTCAGTCCTCACCTCTGAGAGGAACTTTTCACTCCTTTAGATTTACTTAGACATTTCATCCGCAAGTACCCCATTTCGGGGGCATGTTGGGGAAGTTTAAGGATGCTCCAGTGACTAGGGGGTGCTTTCAGCCAAGTGGGCTGAATGGAGACCCTAGTGTGCAGCAGGGCGCCTTTAGGTTTGCTGCTCTGAGGACTGGCAGACACCTGTGTGGTTCCCCTATGTCACCAGCTGAGCCAGACATCTGATGCTGCGAAGGAAGGAGGTACAGGGAATGGTTACAACCGTGCCTTCAATTATTCAGATACTGCAGTGCAGGGAATGGACTCTGATTCCGTAAGTGGACTGTAACAGAGATCATCACATTGTAGACTTCAGGGTAAACACTTGAGCTTGGTGCTTTCAAACTGCTGTCTGGAGCTCCCTGAGGGGCGCAGAGCCAGTGATATGTTTGCTGCTTTAATTCCAAGTTGTTCTTTAAAACAGAAACAACTTTAAAAGGTTTTATCAAAAATGAAAGTCTCTTAGGAAATGTCCACTACGTTTTCCAACAGTCAATATGAAAAAATGTCCAAATCCACCAACTGCAAATCTGGAGGCAAGCTAGGGACCCGGCATTCACGGACACACTCAGAGCACTCATCACCAGCGAGAGGAGACAGCTCAGACCTGTTGGTAAATATGGAGGGGAAGCCGGAGGTTACCAGTTGATATTCTGAGCCAGGAGAGTGCAGGAGAAGAGGGGAACCTGCGAGCTGGAATGGTCAGGAGGATTGGCTGAGAAGACGGGGACTGAACTGGGTGTCAAAGTTAGATTAGTTTACTGAGCATTTCATGACAGGCTTTTCAATATACTTTTTATTTTTCAATTACAGTTGACATGAAATATCTTAGGTTCATGTGTACAGCATAGTGGTGAGACATTTATATAACTTGTGATCACCCCAATAAATCTAGCACCCCTCTGACACCACACACAGTTATTACAGTATTAATGACTGTTCTTCCCTGGGTATTTCCTAACTGCCAATTGTACTTGAGTCCCTTCACCTTTTTCAAAAAGCCCTCAAACCCCCTCATCTGGCAACCACCAAAATGTTTTCTGTGTCTATGGGTGTTTTTATTTGTTCATTTATCCTGTTTTTTGATTCTACATATAAGTGAAATCACATGGTATTTGTTTCTCTGACTTGCTTCACTCGGCATAACATCCTCCAGGTCCCTCCGTGTTNAAATCACATGGTATTTGTTTCTCTGACTTGCTTCACTCGGCATAACGTCCTCCAGGTCCCTCCGTGTTGGTAGGGTTTCATTCTTTTTATGGCCGAGTCCTACCCCATTGTATAGATGCCCCACTTCTTTACCCGGCCGTCTATCGATGGGCACTTGGGCTGCTTCCATAGCGTGGCTGTTGTAAATAAGACTGCAGCGAACATAAGTAGGGACAGATCTTTTCAAATTAATGACTTGGCTTTCTTTGGATAAATACTCAGAAGTGGAATTGCTGGGTCATCGTAGAGTAGCTCTATTTTTAATTTGTGGAGGAAACTCCATACTGGTTTCCACGGTGGCTGCACCAGGAGATAAAACGCTGTGCTCACCTCCTCCCACAACCCCATCAAAATTATCCAGCCATCGAGAACCACCTGAAGACTAGCCAGACACAATTCCTACAGCTAAGGATATGAAACGGCAGCGACGCGGAACAGGCAGGTCCCACGCGTGTGGTGCGCTAAGAATCAGGAGGGGTATCTCGGCTACAGAGGTTCCCCAAGAGAGTGAGGGGTCCCAGCCCAGGGCACCAGTGCTGGGAAGCAAGGCCCCACACATCTGGCTGTGAAAGTGGGCGACGCAGTCCCTCCGAGGGAGATGGAGGGCTGCTGGGCTCCCAGGTGACCTGTCAGGCCTCAGCACCAAGGCGGCAGTTCTACAAGCGCCTTTTCTTAGGCTCTTGGCCATCTGTCCTCTTCAGGAAGTTTCTCGCCCAGGTCCTGTGGCCATCTTTTCATTGGATTGTTTCCCTTGCCTGAGATGATCAGAAAAAATACTAAGAAATGTCAGACTTTACTGCCTGTGTTTCCTTCTGGGAGTTGTATGGTGTTGAGTCTAATCCGTTTTGAGTTTATTCTTTCTTGTATGTGGTAGAAGGAGGTCGTCCAGTTTCATGGGTTTTCTACGTGTCTGTTTTCCCAGAGCACTTACTGAATAGAGCGCCCTTACTCCATCGTAGGCTCTCGCCCCTCCGTCAGATGTTAATTGCCCATCCAGGTGTGGGTTTATTTCCGGGCGCTCCGTTCTGTCCCAGTGACTGGTGTTTGCTTTTATGCCAGCGCCATCCTGTGTGTGTGCAGCCCTGCGGTAGTTTGACATCAGGCAGTGTAATACCTCCGACCCTTCTCCTTTCTCAACGTTGCTTGGTTGGTCAGGGTCTTCTGTGGTTCCGTATACATTTTTGGATTGTTTGTTCTAGCTCTGTGAAAATCGCCATTCAATTGCTTTTTAAAAAAGTTAATTCGCTGGGAAGACCAACTGCTTTAAACACCTCTCTTGAGATATGAATAAGTTACAAGTAGACGAGTTTTTGGCGCCTCTTTCAGACAAGTGTTAATGAGGAACTGAAATAGCTGTGTGTGAATTATCACAAATGTCCCAAGTCTGGGTCAGAGTGATTATGACTGAAGTATTCATATAACATGACCTGCATTATGCTCTGTAACAAAGTTTTTTCATGAAGTTGAAAATATTGTGCTTGCAATCGGGGTTGTTAGACAAAAGTCCCGGTACTTTGAACAAATGGAATGGATTGTGCAAGAACGTATTTACTGTCTGGCACTAAGCTTGGCACCTGTGAGAAGGGGACTGTGGCTCCTGTTCCCCCACTGCTTTGGGAACATAAAACTTGCTGATAGGGACTCAGGTCCGCATGAGCTGGAGGTGTGAGTTTATGGGGGGGGTCGCATAGGGACAGCCTTTAGCGATGGCCTGTTTATTATTTTCAAGTCTGGAAAATCAACTTTTTGGGTACAGAGTTGAAACTTAGCTACATTTGTCTGGGGTTATTCCAATAAACTAGGTCTGTAAACCTCCCAAAAGAAACGATTTTGTGTGTTAGACCCTGAAGTGTGTTGTTCTGTTACGAAGTATCTGGCTTCTCTCAACCTAGGAACTTTTGAAGCTCCGATGTATTGAAAAGCCGCTTTGGCCCCCAAGCAACGTTTCCTCCTCCTTTTTAGATTACTCGCTGACTAGCGCGGACCTGTCAGCCCTGCAGGGCTTCAACTCCCCAGGAATGCTGTCCCTGGGACAGGTGTCGGCCTGGCAGCAGCACCATTTAGGACAAGCAGCCCTCAGCTCTTTGGTGTGAGTAACCCGAAGTCTTCCCCAGCCTCTCTCCCTTTTTCTGTCAGTCGGTCTTCGGCTCTGCTGGCTTCCGTGTGAATTTCGCACAGGGACTGGGCTGTTCCCTAGCGTCGCGAGGCGGGCGGCCGGCCGGGTCTGCTGTGCTGCCCCCTTCTGCTTCTGCTGGGTTTGGGTCGCCCAAGGGTTTGGAGAAAAATTTTATTTCCAGGGCTCTAGGTATTGGCGTGGATACTGAGCACATGAGGCTTTCCCTCCGTTAGGAGATCCAGGGAGGGAGGCCTCTCATAGGGACGTGCTGAGGGGGAGACTCAGTGTCTAAGGGGTGCTGGGCACGGCTGTCCCCCATATGCGCCCCCTTCTGCTGACCCACCCAGAGTAAGCTGCCTGCTCCCACTATTTCCCAACCCCTGAGCCCGATTCCACTGAGAGGAGGCAGCTTGAAGACACTCAGCTCAGGCCCGCTCACCACGCTTCTCTCAGCGGACAGACAGGAAAGTGAGCCGAGCCCTTTGCTTTCTCTCAGGCTCGTAGGGGAGGAACGAGGGGCGTCTTGTGGCAGATCCCCGCCGGCCGCACACCTGCACCTCCCCAAGGGAGCGCTGCGTGGGCCGGGCGGGATTACACAGGCGGGGCCAAAGGTTTCGGGCTGGGAGGAGGCTAAGCACAGAAGTTTATGCCTGTTACTTGCCATGTGAACGACTGTAAACCTACTTCTGCCCCACCCTGTAAGCGAGAAGGGTTTGGCGGTGCGCAGGGGGGACCGGACACCGCTAGCAGGAGGGAGAAAGGACAGTAGTAGCGGGACAAAGGGTAGGTCCATGGAGCAGGTGGGGGACGGCATAGCACACCCAGCTGGCCGCCCATGCTCAGGACACTAGGGACACCCAGCCTCCTACCCTGAGGTCCCCGAAGGGACCTGGCTGAGCAGACCCTTTCGTTCCTGCGCTGGTACGGGGATCGGGGTCGTGTTGGGGAGCGGGCCGTGGACGGAAACCCTCGGGCCGGTGCTGAGCCTCCTCAATGAACATCATAAAAACAGCCCTGCAGGAGGGGGCGGCTTGGGCTCAGCCGGTGCGCACCCTCCTGCGCCACTGAGCGCGCTGCTCACCTTTCTGAGACTCTGCTCAGCGCTGCCGTGAGCCTAGACGACGTGCCTGTCACGGGGCCGGAGCAGAGAACAAACTGAGGAAGCAAAAGACGGAGCAAAATTTGAGTTGCCATGTTGTTCCCTAGTGTCCCTAGTGTTTGGTGCGTGCGCAGCCTTAAGCGCCGACCCTGTGTTGATGCTCCAGCTTTAAAAGTGCCAAGGGTAAGGGCAGAACTGGCCACTAGACGTCTCAGCTGGACTGTTTTGGGGGTTTTCCCTGCCAGGGAGGTGGGATTTCTTTTGGGGCCAAGCACTGAAAGAAATGAGCAAAACCAGCCTTGGGGCCTGACAGTCCCTCAGTCAGGCGCTGTCTGAACTGTCATGCGTTCGGGCAGGTCTGCCCTCAGCCTATCTAACTTTTTTTTTTCCCCCCCCAGTTCTGGAGGGCAGTTATCTCAGGGTTCGAATTTATCCATTAACACCAACCAAAACATCAACATTAAGTCAGAACCAATCTCACCTCCCCGGGATCGAATGACCCCTTCAGGCTTCCAGCAGCAGCAGCAGCAGCAGCCGCCGCCACCGCCACCACCGCCACAGTCACAACCCCCCCAGGCCCGGCAGGAAATGGGGCGCTCCCCTGTGGACAGCCTGAGCAGCTCGAGCAGCTCCTACGACGGCAGCGACCGGGAGGATCCACGGGGGGACTTCCACTCTCCAATTGTGCTGGGCCGACCCCCAAACGCTGAGGACAGAGAAAGCCCTTCTGTGAAGCGAATGAGGATGGACGCCTGGGTGACCTAAGGCTTCCCGCCTGTGGCTGGTACTGTTACTGCAGTGAACTGCCCTGCGTATCTAAATTGGCCGGTAAGGACATGAGGTAAAGCTATTTATATGTACATACATACATACAGACCCCTTTACATGTATGTATGTGAGTGTGGGTGTGTGTTGCATACACAGAATCAGGCACTTACCTGCAAACTCCTTGTCGATCTGCAGATGTGCGTCCCATGGCAAACCAAGCACCTGTAGGCAGAGTCTAGTCTGGCACCTCCCTGGATTTTATTGTTCCATAAAATACCCCGTTTTTGCAGAGAAACGTGTACCCGTATATAACTCCCCCACACTAGCTTGCGGAAACTAGAGGGCCCCTCCTTGTTTTATTTAACTGTGCAGTGACTGTAGTACTTCAGAAAAATGCTTTGTAGAACGGAGCAGTAGAAAAGCAGGAACCAAGAAAGCAATACTGTACATAAGATGTCATTTATATTAACTACCCAACCTGGCATGGGTCTCTTTTGCAAAGGGGTGCATGGTAAAGGGCTGTTGATATTAAAAAAAAACAAAACAAAAAAAGCCCCACACGTAACTGTTTTGCACGTGCAAAAATGTATTGGGTCAAAGAAGTGATCTTTAGCTAATAAACGAGAGAATAGAAAACGCATGAGATCTTCAGAAAATACTAGCCTAGAACTATAGAGCATTAACAAAATAAATTAATATATTAAGTTATAATTGGAATATGTCAGAAGTTTCTTTTTACATTCATATCTTAAAAATTAAAGAAACTGATTTTAGCTCATGTATATTTTATATGAAAGAAAACACCCTTATGAAATTGCTGACTATATATAAAATTATATTCACTACTTTTGAAAACATTCTGCTATGAATTATTTATATAAGCCAAAGCTGTATGTTTCATTTTTTTTTTTTTTTTTTTGAGAATAGCTTTATCTTGTTTTAACTTTTTAGTTTTGTTCTAAGAGGGAAAAAAAAATATCTTGCAAGCAGAACCTTGGAAAAAAAAAGCCATGAACACTTATTATTCTATATATAAATTAAAAGTTGAGCCAAACTCTTCCTGTATATAGCATCTTAAATATATTATCACCTTCGATGTAAGTACCTATGTATTGTATGGTCACCAGATTAAAAAGTATATTTTTGTGGATTTGCCGCCAATTTGGGGGGAAAAGGCGAGATCCTTATTAAGTAGAGTATTCACTGTTTAATATTTACTATTTTGTTAAATATACTGTACTTTGGATTTTAATTATTAGCCCAGTCTTTTCAGAGGATTGTATAACGGGGTTTCTCCCCTCACTGGTGGTGAATGTGTGATGTTGCATTGTAATCTTTGTGCTGTATGGGTTGAGCATCATTATATATTTTATATGTGTACATAAATAGCAAAGTGGCAAAAAAAAATTGGTGTTAAGTTCATCCTGCATAAATATAAATGTGTTGTAACAGATTTTATAAGGCGTTATTTAAAACTTGCCTTTTGTGAGGAAAAATATAGAAGCAGCTGACCTAACTTAATTTAGAGAAAATGGCAAAATAGATGAGCACAAAGGTTTTATAAGTGGTAAATGATTAGGGAAACCCTCGCTGGGCAGGGACCTTTCCTGCCGGTCACGAGCTCTGCACAGAAGCGGCACTTCCATGGCAGAGACTCTCAGTGCAGATCTGGGCCCGACGCGCGCCACCCTCAGCTTAGATTCTGACCAAGGCCTTACTCCTATAGGAGGACAGCGAGTTCGTTCGTCCACTTTCTGGGCTTGTGCCATGAACAAAATTCAAAGTCCTGTATATCTATCTTTTACCATAGATTTTTAAATACTTTTCCTGAGAAACTCAAAATAAGGGTTGAAAAATGCTATTTTGTATTTTAAACTTAATACCGAGCAGCTAGCTACCTACGATTTGTACTTACATTTTGTTTTCCCCCCAAATTGCATTCCTTTTGACGTTTTCCTCATGCTATTTGTGACAAATCATCAGCCAGGTTTTCTGACTGACACACAGCTGCAAGCGGGATTCTGTCTTAATGACAGTCCGGGTCGTCCATTTTGATAGAAGCCAAACAAGGGAGAGTGACATGCTCGCCCCTCGCGTCAGTACAGGCACACGGCTCATTCGGAAAGGATTCGTTTTTCTTTAAAATGTTCTTCCTCACGGGCACATCTGCAAGGTCTCGCCTAATTGAAACCACAGTCTCCCGACCCTGAATTTCCAAGATAATCCTTACCACTTGTAAGCCACCTACAGCTTTGAGAGCGCTGGGTGACCCGCGCGTTATCATTTATGCATGTCCATGAACTTCTGCTGTACATTGGAATAGGAGTTACCACAGTCACATTTACTGTCTATTTTCTTGTGTGCCTTATGAGATGGCTTTTCTGACTGTACTCAATAGTCTTTCTTTCTATGCAGGTTTATAATCAGTACAACTACTGTTTTCTAAAATAATATTACACAAGGCTCGGAGTTTGTATTTCAATCACAATGACCAAGGAACAATGTATTCCATTTTCAGGAACTGAATATTAGACTGTTAACCCTTTCCCATACGCGCAGTGACAGGGAGCATATGGACTTGACAGACACTCCTCACCATGACACCATGTACGAACACACATCTGGTGGAAACCAACTCAGACTGGGCAAGACACTGGCAGGGTCACTTAGAACCTACATTTCTTACCCTTTTAGACTCATGTGTTTTGTACGACACCATCACGAGAAAAATGTATCCATTCAGATGAAGTATTTTATTACTAAAAGACAAAAACAAAAAAAGCTTAGAGTGAATTGCACTGGTAAAGTACGGTTTCCAACCGCTGTGCTTCCTTCAGGACCCTCATCTGACAGAGAGAGTGAAGGTCACCATTGTATGTCTACAGACGGTCCCAACCAAAACTCCATCTTTTGAGCCCTAATTATGTCCATTGTGTTAGAGACTAAATCAGGGGTTTGTTCTAGAAGAACACGTTTTACCATTTCCTTTAACCAGAAGGACAGCTAGTAAAGCATTCACACGTTTTCTGTATTAACCATCGTGCGCACAAGAAATACATAGTAAATAGGGAACCAGAAACTCCTGGCGTCGGATCATAAGGAGCTAGATGATTAGAATGTGAACAAAGATTTTACAAATGTAAAACTTTTATTTCTCTGTAGAAACTTTCTTCACTTTGCTGTGCAAGAAGACACTGCTTTGCTATATTTAAAATGGCTTTTTTAAAAGAGATTTATGTATTTGGTAAATGTTTGTAGTCAACAGTTCACACAGAAGCTGTACACGGTTTGATCATGTAAAACCGTTTGGCGGCACAAGCTGGACTTTGTTGCCATCCTTGAGATGAAAAATAAGTTAATCTCAATTTTTCCCTGATGTGTTTTTTCTTCATTATACAATAAATATTATAGTGAACTTTTTATCAAATGGTTAAGAAAATGCTAGAGGTTGTTGTAAACTATTTGTATCCTGCACTCACTACAGTAAAGACGGACTGGCTTTTCCTGTGTACTCCAGACTCTGTCATGTTTGCCACCCAGCCCCTCTCCTGTGCCCTTCACAGAGGCCTTTCCCCCTGCAGCTGCCCTCTCCTCCCTCGGGGACAAGGTCAGGCAACCGCTGCAGTGCCCACCAGCCTCACCCTCCGGGCTGGCCCTGGACCCTTTAGGAAGCAGCCAGCGAGCCAGTCCCCAGCACTGGCCACTGCTGTTGAGTCCATTAAACCCACCCAGGCTCTCAGAGTGACTTCTGCAGGACATGCCACCACCTGAGTGCGGGCTGAGGTGAGGAAGGGGGGTGGCTCTCAGGAGAGTCTGTTTACTCGTTTTCCCCAAAATGCATACATAATACTGAGCTGGGGGCAGCAGGAGAGAGATACACTAAATGAATTTTATTTTTAAGAGAGAACCGTGCAGTGGCAAGTTTTTTCTCTCCGACTTACCTTCTAAGCCTAGCTAAGCAGATTTTTGCTGTCAATTAAATTAAAAGCTAAATTTTTATGCTGGTTTTACTTGCAGGCTACAGTGAGGCTATTCGTGGGTTTTGAAAGCTGGTTGAGTCCTGTGGCTATAAATACTCTAATCACACCTGCAGCTATTTAAAATCAATTCCTTGCGATTTCCTAGTTAGCTCCCATGAGTGCCTTCCTCTAGGCTTTATCCTGTTTTTAAGCTGATTCTGCTTGACTGGCACCAGCCAACAAAAGGATTTTTCAGTTGGAGCCCTGTGCCAGCTGGATGGCTTCGGCCTGTTCCGCCTGCCTGTGCAGTGGCTCACGGGGTCAGAGTGCCACTCAGTTGTGGAACTGAGGAGAAAAGCAGTGTTTCCCCCCATCTTCCTCGAGATGGAGGAGGCTCTACAGAGGCACTGAAACACCAGGGAGAGGGGCTCCTGGGCGCTGCATGGCCCACGGCCATCAGGCAGCACACTGCGCACTGGGAAAACCCTGATCCCACCTGTCACCCTGGGAGCTGAGGACAAGCTCTTCCCAGCAGGCAGCTAAGACGACATGTCCTAGACTCTAGTCACCTCCTTAGACACATCACCTGCCTGCTCTGTCTCTACCATAGCAGATGAATGTTGCTGGGGGGGGGATCAGTTATACTAACCGGCTTCACTGTATAACCCCGCTGCCCCTTTTTACCTTTTTTAAGTCTCTCTTTAACTTTCCATGTATTTGTCACCCACCTTCCCCTAATATTAACATTTACATAACCACAGTACCACTATGAGAACCAAGAAATTAACACTGATACAGCACTATTAATTAAATACCTTGTTGGAATTTCACCATTTTTTCTGCTAATGTCTGTGCCAGTCACAGGATCTTACATGGCATTTAGTCGTTACTTCCCTGCGACAGTTCCTCAGTCTTGTCTTTGAAAAGAAGACACTTTGGAAGAATACTGATCAGTTATTTTGAATAGTATCCCTCAGTGTGGATTTCTCATGTTTTACCTTGATTGGAATGAGTGTGTGCATTTGTGGCAAATATACCACCGCACTACGGAATTCATGGTGTCCATGTCTTAGGACAGGTGACGTGGTTTCTACTGGGTTTCTCCACTGTGAAGTTATCTTTCCCTTTGTAACCACTGAGTATCTCAGGGAGATACTCCAAGACTAGAAAGGTTTCTCAAACTTCCACTTACTAATTTTAGCATCTTGCTTGCAACAACTATTACTGTGGCATTTCCATACTACATTTGTTAATTGGACTTCTCTAAGGAAGAGCTGGCCATTCTCCCCACTTTTAAAATTGTTGATATCATTATGGACTCATTTATTTTACTCCATGGGTTATAATCTAGTACTATCATTACATTATTCCAGCTTTGCCCAGTAAGAGTTCCTTCTGCTAGATTCCTGTGTTCTTTGGAAAAGCCCCTCCACACTCACACTTCGTGGCATTTCCTTACTGCCCCAGTGCTGGATCTACAACTTCTCCAAAGAAGAAACCAGAAGGGAAATCAAGCTTCAAACAAATGAAGATGGAAATAATGCACAAAACCTACGGGATGCTACAAAAGTAGTTCTTAAAGGGGAGGTCTATAGTAATAAATGCATATATAGTGAACAGCAAAGATCTCAAACCTAAATTCACACCTCAAGGGACTAAAAAAAGAAGAAAATAAGTCCAAGCTTAGAAGGAAGGAAATAACAGTACACACAGAGGGGAAATAAATGAAATAGAAAAATAGGAAAAATAGAAAAATAGGAAAGATCAATGAAACTAAAAGCTGGTGTTTTAAAAAGATAAACTAGACAAAAAAATTAATTGAAATACATTACAACTGACACCACAGACACAGTGGAATCATAAGGCACTACTATGAAATAAATGCCAACAAATGGGAAAACCTAGATTAGATAGGTTTTATATTTGGAGGAACTTACCCATCAACACTGAATCAGGAAGAAACAGAAAATCTGAGCAGATCAATACAGAGTAAGGAGACTAAATCAATAACCAAAGACCTCCCAACACAGAAGAAAAGCCCAGGACCACGTCCTTCCACAGGTGAATTCTACCAAATATTTAGAAGAATTCTTCCTAAAGAGTTCCAAGAACAAAGAGGGAACATTCCTAAACTCATTTTACAAGGCCAGTATTACCGTGATACCAAAGCCAGATAAGGACAACATAAGAAAAAATCATAGCCAATATCCCTGACGAAGACAGATGCGAACACTCTCAAAATAATTAGCAAATCAAATTCAAAGGCACAAGTGAGATCTATCCCTAGGATACAAAGATGGTGATATGCCACCTTAATAGAATGAAAAACATCATAGTGTCATCCCATAAGTGCAGAAAGCACATCTGACAAAATACAACATCATTTCATGACAAAAATGCTCAACAAACTGCGTAGAGAAGGGGACGTCCCCCGACATAATAAAAGGTGACAATCACAAGCCCACAGCTGATGTCACAATAGGGAAAAGCTGAAAGTTACTCCTCTAAGATAAGGAACAAGAAAAAGATGGTGACTCTTCCACTCGTGGTCAACATATTTTGGAAGCCATAGCCACAGCAATCAGGCAGCATAAAGAAATAGAGACTTTGAAGGGGGAGGGAGGCAACGGAGGAGATATCAGCTTCCCTGTCCCTGCCCCCCACCCAGATCTACGATTACCCACTAAACACAGACCAGGAAACCCGGTTCAAAGTGAAAGGACAGACACTAAAAGAGCATGGGTAGCTACACAAAATCAGACAAAACTGACTTTAAGCCCAAAACGTAATTACATAAAGGGGGGTCAACATCTGCCAAGATCGATCATGGGATGCTGCAGCTCTAGGAGGGAATTTTATAATGATAAACACCCACATTAAGAAACAGGAAGGAGCTCAGGTAAACAACCTCACCTTACACCACAAGTTACTAGAGAGAGAAAGATAAACCCAAATTTAGTAGAAGGAAGGAAATAAAAAGACCAAAGGGGAAATAATGAAATGGAGACCAAACAATAGAAAACAATAAAACTAGAAGCCAGTGTTTGGAAAAGATAAACACAAACCTTTAACTACAATGACTCAGAAAAACAGCAGACTCACCACCAGAAATGAAAAAGGAGGCATCAGAGCTGATACCACAGAAATACAAAGCATTTGCTTTGAATGAGTGACTGCTATGAACAATTACCCTTCAACAACTGGATAACCCAGAGGAAATGGGTAAATTTCTGTACACAGCCTACGAGGCTGAATCATGAAGAAAGAAACAATCTGAGCAGCCCGATACTTGGTAAGGAGACTGAGTCAGCGAGCAAAACCTCCCAACACAGGAAAACTCAGGACCGGGTTTCATTGGTGAATTCTAACAAATACTTTAACAAGGATTGTTGTTAATTATCTTTCAACTGTTCCAAAAAACTGAAGAGGAGGGAACACTCCTTAATTCATTTTACGAGGTGGGCATTACCTGGATACCAGAGCCAGAAAAGAACAACATAAGAAAATTATAGACCAATATCCCTGATGAATATAGATGGAAAAATTTGCAACAAAATATTAGCAAACCAAATTCAACAGCGCATTTTAAAGGAGCCCTGTGATCAAGGGGGCTCCACCCCTGGACAGCAGGGATGGATAGTTCAACATACACAAATCAATCAGTGTGGTGCACCACCTTAACAATGAAATATAAAAATCTCATGATCACCTCAATAGATGCAGAAAAGGCGTTTGGCAAAATACAGGATGTCCCCCAAAAATGTAGACACACACTTTGAATAATTATAAAGGCAGTGTTTATTAAAATACATTTAACAGCTATCAGCTCTTAAAATGTGTATACATTTTTGAGGGATACTCTGTATATTTTTTCCTGATAAAAAATAGTAAAAGTCATCATAGTAGGAAATCAAGAAGTAAAATTGTCTCTGCTTGCAGATGAAATAATCTTTATACAAAAAATCCTAAAGACACTACCAAAAAACTGCTAGAACTAATCAATTCAGTAAAGTTACAGGATACAAAATCAAATACAGAAAACAATTGTTTCTATACACTAATAATAAAACACCTGAAAAAGAAAGAAAATACCATCAACAAGATGATCTAAACCAATTAAAAATTTAGATTTATTCCTAACCAAAGAGGTGGAGATTCTGTACGCTAAAAACTACCAGAGTTAGATGCAAGAAACAGAAAAGACAAACAAATGGGAGGTAACCCATGTTCATGGATCAGAGGAAGATTGTAAAAACTATCCACTACTTAAAGCCATGTGTAGATTCAGTGTATTCTGTATCAAAGTTCCAATGGCATTTCCACAGAAAAAACAATCCCAAATTTGTATAGATCCACAAAAGATTCTGAGGTAGCTCCAGCAATCCTGAGACAGACCACCAGCGGCATCACACGTCCTGATTTCACGCTGTACTGTAAAGCTCTAGTAACCCTAACAGCATGGCACTTGCATAAAAACAGACACTGAGATCAATGGATCAGAACTGGGTGCCCAGAAATAACTGCCTGCATATACCATCAACTAATATTGACAAGAGAGCCAAGAATACTCAGTTGGGGAAAAGACAGTCTTTTCAATAAATGGTGCTGGGAAAATGGGACAACCACATGCAGAAGAATGACACTGGACCCTTATCTTACCCACTTAAATAGGTAATTTCGAGACATTTTATGTAAGCTTCAGGGTAACCACAAGAAAACCTGCAGTAACCACACAAAAGAACATGAAGGCATGAAGTCAAAGCATATTAGTACCAAAAGACACCAACACACACACAAAAGACAGCAGGAAGCAATGGATCTATAAAATGAGCCAGAAAACAATTATATAAATACATGGAGAGGTATTCGGGCTGGGAAATTTAAGATTGTTAAAATTCCCATATTATTCCAAGTCATCTATAGATTCATGCTATCCCTATCAAGATCCCAATGGCATTTTTAAATTTTTTTTTTTTACAGAAGTAGAAAAAACAATACTAATTTATATGGAAGAACAAAAGACTCTGAATAGCCAAGGCAATCCTAACAAAGTATATGGCAAGGGACATCAAACTTCAATTTCAAGGTATATTATAAAGCTACAGTAATCAAAATAGTATGGTAATGGCGTAAAAACAGACACAAAGCAATGGAAGAGAACCAAGAGCCCAGAAATAAACATAGGCATAGTCAGGTAATATTTGACAAGGGAGCCAAGATACTCAATAGAGAAAAGACAGTCTCTTCAATAAATGGTGCTGGGAAAACTGGATATTCACATGTAAAAAATGAAAGTGGAACCCTATCTTACACCACTCACAAAAAATTACCTTAAAATAGGTTAAAGCCTTGAATGTAAGACCGAAAACCATAAAACTCCTAGAAAACAGGAAGTTACCTTTTTGACATTGGTATTGGCAATGATTTTTGGGTTATGACAAGAACAAGCTAGCACATCAAAAACAAACAAGTGGGACTACATCAAACTAAAAAGCTACACAGCAAAACAAACAATAAACAATAGAAAAAAGTACTTGCAAACCTTGTATATGATCAGAGGTTAATATCCAAAATGTATAAAGAACTCATACAACTCATCAGCAAAAAACCCCAAATAATCCAATTAAAAAATGAGCAAAGGACCTGAAGAGATATTTTTCCAAAGAAGTTGTACAAATTGCCAACAAGTACATGAAAAAGGTGCTCAACATCACCGATCATGCAACTCAAAACCACAATGAGATATCACCTGTTAGAATAGCTATCATCAAAAAGACAAGAGGCTCGGCTGGTGTGGCTCAGCAGTTGAGCATCAATCTAGGATCCAGGAGATTGAGGTTTGAATACAGGTCAGGGCATATGCCTAGGTTTCGGGCTCCATCCCCAGCAGAGGTGTACAGGAGGCAGCTGATCAATGACTCTCTCTCATCATTGATGTTTTTCTCTCTCTCCCTTCCTCTCTCTGAAATCAATAAAAAATATATTAAAAAGAAAAAAAGACAAAAGATAACAAAAGCTGGTAAGGATGTAGAGAAAAGGGATTGTAAACTGGTACAGCTACTATGGAAAACAGTGTGGAGGTTCCTCAAAAAATTAGAAATAGAACTACCATATGAGTGAGCAATTCCACATCTGGGATTATATCAAAGGAAAAGAAAACACTATGTCAGAGAAATAGCTGCACCCCCATGTTCACAGCAGCTTTATTTACAACAGCCAAGACAAAATCTAAGTGGCCATCAATGAATGAATGGACAAAAGTGTTACACAGACACACACGCACGTGCATGTGCACAATGAAATATTACTGTGCCATAAAAAAAAGGAAATCCTACCATTTGAGATGGATGAACCTTAAGGGCATTATATTAAGTGAAATAAGTCAGTCAGAGAAAGACAAATACAGTATGTTTCCACTTATATGTGAAGTCTTAAAAAAAAGATACAGCCAAGCTCATAGAAAAACAGGTCAGATTTGACGTTACCAGAGGCAGGGAAGAGGGGGAGGTGGAACTGGATGAAGGTGGTTAAAAGGCACAAACTTCCAGTTACAAGGTAAGTCCTGGAGATGTAACGTATAACATGACTATAGTTAACACACTATATTGTATACAGTCAAGTTGCTAAGAGTAAAGCTTAAGAGTTCTCATCACAAGGAAAAAACATTTTTTCCTTTTTCTCTTTTTTCTTGTATCTAAACTTACTGTGGTCATCATTTCACAACATATGTAAGTTAAGTCATTATGCTGTACACTTTAAACTTATACAGTGCTGTATTCTCAATAATACTGGGGGAAAAGGAAGAAAAATGCTGAGGTTCTATGAGCCGTCTTTACAGGGCTCACATCGTTCCCCCTCAAGCCCAGATGGGCCTCACAATTACCACAGAGGCAGCTTAGAGAGCTCCCCACCGGAGGCGGGGCTGTGGCGGCCTCAGCTGGGCAGCCCTGCTCCAGGTAACGCAGAGGATCCTGCTTAGACTCCGCAGCCTTGTCTCCCAGAGAAGAGGAGGAGCACCCCGTGCCTAACGGCACAGGCTCCCTACTGCTCTAGTTCAATGTTAAGCACCAGAGTTCAACCAAAAGGACTGAATCAAGCAAATTTAATAATTTATTTAAAACATGAACTACCCAAAGATACTAAAATATGTAGAAAGGGAACTTCATGGCATCCCGTGTCTGTGTAATAAAACCATTTTAAAGTACGTTATGCAGACTAATCAGCAAGATTGTGCGATAACCTTCACCTGTCTGGATAACCCTGGGTACAACCCCTGGACACGGACACCTTCATCTCCAATACTGTCCTATATCTTTTAGTTCTGAATTATCAACCCCCAAGCTTGGGGGGGGGGAAAAAAAAAGAGGAATCAATTTTCCTTCACAGAAGAAATTATTTTATTCCATTTGAAAAAAGTATAGAATACAGTTATTCATTCTTTGCCTAGCAAAAGTCATTTTCCCAGAGGACTCTGAGCCCCACCTGGTGAGGTAAATGGTGACAAACAGAGCCCTGTGGCCCTCAGGGGAACAGTAAGCAAATATTTGGCTGGAGAAGCAATCCCATGATCAACACACTTTTTGTAGCAAAAGTTCCCAAGTCCATTTTATCCAGAAGAACATTTTGCTTTTGAAGAGCACATTCAATTTTGAAGATAGTCCAAGTTTACTCATGGAACCCAGGGCGAACCATTTTCCACAAAACTCAGAAGAGAAAGAAATTGGGAGCCCATCTCAAGCACTCTTCTATTCTACCCCACTCCCTTCCTCTTCACAAGATCTTCTCAAGCTATCATTAGGCCTCATGTGCCAAATGCCTCTGACCATGCTCGCCCCGCCGCTCAGCATTTGTGCATGATGACCTCCCTGGAGACAGGCTTCTGAGGCTGAGTTTCCAGCCACTTCAGCCCATCACCCCTCAGTGGGATGAAGATGGGCTCCCACCAAAGCAGGCTGTCACCCCTTCCACCCCTGCTCCACCGCAGGGGCTCAGAGGCCAACCGATGGCCCCCCCCACCCTCCGCACTGGGCACCATTGTTGAATGAATGGGAGAAGAGGGCAAACCTCGGGTGGACAGGCATCGGCCTCTTTCTATGGCTTTTCACAGCAAGGGTCACCTCTACACCCTCCGTTAAGTGTTTGCTCTTTTAACATATGAGCCACTGTATATAGAGTGCTATCCACCCAAAGAAATACACTGAGCCCTGGTCTCATCCTGTGGCTCTAGGATTCCTAAGAATGGAGTCAGGGGAGCAGCAGGAAGCAGCAGTGTGGTGTTCTGCACCACACTTCCAGGTGCACGCAGGGGCTGCTGCTCGTGGGAATGCTGGGCTGGTGGCTGTTTGGCCTTATGCTGGGACCCCCATGACTGGCACTCAGTCTCTCTCCTCAGCTCCAGATGCTGGCCAGCAAGAGCTCCTTCAAAGAAAGCTGACTTGGGGGATCTAGTTAGCGAATGCTGTGGGATGCTCTTCAGGTGAAGCTGGGCACCAGCCCCCAAATGCTCTGCCAGGAGGCGCTGGCTACACATGCAGCAGCTTCAAACACACCTGCGTGTTGGAATAAGCAGCTCTAAAAGTATGGCAGGCAGAACTGCTGCTTGCTCAGTATTACAGCACTCGTGATGTAGGGCTTCTTTGATTTTAGAAGTGACGGTTGCCTCGGAAAGGCTAACTGGTAAGGCAAATATGAAGCCAGGTTTGTTACCATTATAATCTGTCACACTCTAAAAACAGAGTCACATTCACCACTGTTGGGTAGCACCTTTGTCAAGGAGACAGGAAACATATTCGTCAGAACCAGCCACCCCTCCAGAGCAGGCAAGGAACACTGCAAACACCCAGGTGACCGAAGCCGAGCCTAGGGGCTCCCACTCTGCAGGTCCATTGCCAAGGCCATTCTTCTCTGTCCCAGCACATCTAATTTGGGGGACCACAGAGTGCTACTGTGGAGACACACATGGCCAGTCCACTAAATGCCTTCAAAAACGGGCATGTCACATGTGAATGTTCCTGTCACATTTATCTTCTGGATGCAGGAAGCTGAGGGTGTTGGGGTTTTGGCTCCACAACCTTGAATTAGGCAAGGACAGAGCACCGTCACACTATGAGGGTGTGTTAATTGAGAACACACTAGTGGCTTCTGAAACGTGTCCAAGTGCCATAGAAAAGTAAATGCAACACCCTGGGATATGGCCAATGTCAGCTGATGCGCATCAGGAGCCCAATTACACCAGCTGGCCTGATTCTTTAGAAACACCAATAGCTAGTTCCCTCCCCAGGTGGTCTGCCTGAGCTGGCTGGCTGGAGAAGGGGTGCTTGGCACTGGAATCGCTACTTTGGGGGCTTGCCCTGGAACTGCACTCACTGCCATCGAGCCATTGGGGACAGCAGTTGTGTTCACGCTGCTAGGAATCTCTCCAGTAGCTCGTATTTTAAAATAGACCAAATAAAATACTGGTAAAACAATCCCAATGAGAAGCATGATAAAAACAGCATTCCACCACTGAATTCCACAGTCTGCGCCGTTTGTCAGCGTCTTCGGAGGAGCTGGAAGTAGTGGCTGATCGGAGATCTCCCCGCAGTAACTGTCACTTATGAAGATTTCTGACTGCACCACTTGCTCAATATTCTGGTCAATGCCCTTAAAGAACTCCGTCAGTGAGCTGGACGGGGCACCAGTGCTTAGGGCTGCGCTGTCTTGGTCTGGCTGCTCCTCGAAGGTCACTCTGGTTTCTGAGGATGGGCTCAGGAGGGGTCTGAGTTCTTTGTGGGTCTCTGTTAGGATCCCATGGTTTTTCACTGGAATCTTAATAGATTTCAAAGCATATAAGTCTTGTTCTCTGATGAAGTTGTTGGCTTTCTTGATATCTGCAACCTAGGGAAGCCATGAAGACAAACATCACGAAATACATAAAGCTCCTTAGAACTAATATCTAAAAAGTGGTTCTTAACCTTTCTGGAGGATGGTCCAAGCCCACCCTGCTTAAGAAAATGGTGAGCACTGGAAAACTGCACCTATACATAAAGTTAGTTTAGGCTAAAGAATGTTGTTTCTGGCTTTAACTCAGCTTTTACAGCTTAATCATCAAAATTTCCTAAAGATTTACAAGTTTGAACAATTTAAGATCAGTTTTGAAAAAGGCTTTTTTTTATTGTTTAGAGTGTGACTGCAAAACAATGCTTGTAGGTGAAACACAACCATGGTGGTAAAAAGAATGCCATTGCCCTACTTCTTTTAACTTTTGAGGCAACAGCGCCCCCATCTGGCTGCTCAGCCTCCAACATCAGAACCCAGTTAGCAGCTACACTACACTTGCATTCAGCAAAGGCAAAGCCCTAGCCAGAGGCACAGACACTCAGAACCTAGTTTACCAGTAATAATGCTTTAAGAGGTGTGCCCTCGTGATTTTAACATGTTTTCTTTTGCATGAGTACTGCATGGCATACATCACTTCGTATGATAAATAGAAGTATGCAGGGAATCACAAAGCAAGTTGGAAACTGTAGACTGAAATCTTCTTCCAATACAGTATTAGGACTCGAGGAGAAAGGAAGGCCACTATGAGTTTTATAAAGTAAAAGAGTTCATGACAAACACCTCCCACAATCAAACCTTAAGATTAAAGAGGGGAGAAAGTGTAAGTCAAAGACAAACCCTTCCTCAAGCTGATGTTTGGATTCTATGATTTTAACGTAGGAAGCCCACCCAGAGAGTGTAAACATGGCCAACAGACCTTTCAATAGAGCCTTATTCAAAACAATTAGCTCCACTATCTTAATTATGTAGCAACTGTTTTTAATCACCTAATTAAATTGGGGCGAGGTCATTTTTATGTCCTGGAGCTCAAGCATAAGGTGCTTGAGACCATTTTGTCTTTGTCCCTAACAAAGTAACAGCAATTTACTTTCAATAGGAAAACTGACCACTTATTGGAGGCATTATACGGTTTTCAGGGATTCATTCAACATCACCATTGCAAGGAGCTCACTCAGGTCTTTGTAGGGCAGGATTCATTTTTCAGTTCATGTTCATTAAACCATAGAGTATGCCTACAGAAGCTGATTATAACAGTCAAATGTATAAATTCAGTATAATTCAACAGCCACTATGTGTTTCTGGAGACCATCCTGTTTATTTCCCTGGGAAACACAATGCCCCACACATGTGTTTAACCATTTGAACCTTGTTACATCAATGACAGTCACTTTAAGGAGGAAAAGATTTTCAAAACAACTTGCTCAGGCAGCCTTTACAGAAAGCCATAGAAAGTTGTCCCATAGGGTCAGCAAAGCAAAATAAACAGTTTCAAACCAGGAGAAAATGCAGCAATTCTAGAAATACTTTCCTACTTACTTTGCCATTGTTAATCACTCTGAATGCTAAAGACATAATTAAAGAGAGAAACAGGGTTATATAGATACACAGCATACAAAGGCTAGATCATGCAGTTCCAAAAGACAGAAGGTAAAACTTTACCAATCAAATAATTACAACCAGCAAGAAAGGGGTCAGAAAGAAAAGTAGCCAAAAAATGCAAGCACTCCAAAGAAATCCTGGATAAATCTGCCTGGCGTCTCTGGCCCCATTAGGTCTTAAATAAAGCGTGCTCAAACAAAAAAGGTTTCAGAATCTCAGTTTGGAGGGACAGTGAAGAGTAGAAATACTCTGCAGCAAGGGGACAGTCCCATCACCCGAGATTCCTCACCCTCACTCTCCATGGCCCAGGCTAAACAGAGGAGTCCTTTCCTGCTTTGAGAGGCCTCTCCCAACCACCTGCCAGGGTCAGGAAGGGGCAGCAAGGGCTCCCGCTCGTCAGGGAGATCCTCTATCGGGGCTGGGGAACCTTTCTGCTGCCAAGGGCCATCTGGATATTTATAACATTCACAGGCCATACGCAATTATCAACTTAATTAGCCTGCTGTACTTGGTCGAACATTTAATTAACTCACCCCTCGATTTACTGAATTTCGAGTCCCGCCTGCGGTTGCCTTGGCAGGGCCAGACCAACCGATTTCATGTAAGGCCCTCGGGCTGCGCGTTCCCCACCGTGCAGTCCAAGCGGACAGGCCGCGGGCGCCCCTTCCCCTTCCCCGTGGGTCTTACTTTGCAGCCATACTGGAGGGCGAGCTTGTTGAGGCTGTCCTCCCGGGCCAGCTCCCGCTGCAGCAGCACGACGCTCCCCGCTCCCGGCCCGGGCGGGCGGCGGGCCCCCTTCTTCTGGCGCTCGGGGCCCCGGGGTCGCAGCGCCACGCGGCGGGGCTCGTCCTCGGAGGAGTCCCCCGAGTCCCCACTGCCGCTTTCAAACATGTACACCTGGCGGGTCGGAGTCCCACACACCATGGCCGGGCCGCGGAAGGTCTTGGTTAACACGCCCTTCTGCCTCATTTTCTTAACTGAAAACCAAACCCCAGGGTTAATTCCAAACAAGGCACATTCACTCCGCTGATAGGCGTCTCGTCAGAAACGACTCCTTCCCCGAATCACTGTAAACAGTCAAAAAGACAGCGGCCGTGCAAAAGCAACGTGTTTACGCTGAAACAGAGGGCGAGACATAGGCACGAAAAACGCCTTTTCCTCCCCCCTCCAACAGCATATTTTGCGCCAGAAACCACAAGCACCCCTCTTCGTCCCCCCCCCAGTCTTCGTCCACACCTGTGGCTCCCCAAAACCACAAACGTAGCCAAAAGCTTGTCTCCGCGGCCGCCGAGTAGTCAAGAGGGGGGAGAATCCCGACCCGGAGCCGCCGTGCAAACCGCCCGGGCGGACTCGACTCACTGCCACGCGCCCCCCGAACCGAGGATAAACACTGGGCGCTTGGGAACGGCTCGCGTCGCGGGCCACGGGGGGCGGCGGGGGCGCTCCCGCGGCCTCGGAGTCGTCCGCCCGCTCAG